TATATAATTATTTAAATATAATATTATGTTATCATATTTATTATAATAACTAATATTAATAAGTAATATTGCATAGGTAAATTGAAGTTCATATAAAAGTAAAGCTTATAAAAATTAATTTTTTTACAACAATAATTTTTGTAAAACTATTAACCTTACGAATAAAATTTAAAATATTTTTTTTTTGAATAAATATGCTTAACATTTTACTTTAGTTTATGTATCACATTGTGATAGTAAAAAAATATTTAAAAAAATATTTATGTATCATATTGTATTAATATTTCTAAAAGTCATATCTAATAAAATTAATTTTTTTTAAATTTTGAACTGTAGAATAATATCTGCGTCGTATCCTTGCAGAGCTGATTTAATTGTAAATGTTTTATCTAACAAAACATTAAAAACTAAAAAAATGGAGTATAATATACTACTAGATTAATTACACGAGCTTCTACTATAAGCAAAACAATTGATACCGAAAAAGTATCTACCACAGAAAATAAAGTTCTGATCATCCAGTGAGCAAAATTCGAAAAATTATACATTTTCACATTCCAAATTAATAAAGATAATCATATTTCCAAATTACCAAATTTTATAGATATACGTTAGTGAATAATTTTTTACTTTTTAGCCATGATGATTGTTAAAGCCTTAAGATCGTCACTATTACTAGTATTTTGGAAATCCATAATATATGTACAACATCTGAACATCTTAGTTAATGTACAATTAATTTTACTTTAGAAAAAATATAAAACGCTATTAAATATTAATTATAAAACTATAAATGTTTACGAAATTGAAAAATATGAGTAGGTACATAACATAGTATGCATTATTCTGCCCAGTATCACTACTTGTTCACTAACATTATTATAAAGAGTAATATATTTCCTCGATGGCCACGGTTTCACACGTCATTTAGCCCAATAAAAAAATATTCGAAAAATACGCATTGTTTAATTATACATATAAACTTTATAAAATAGGTTTTAGCATATAATAATATGTAGCCATACCATTACGATACGTATTCACTATAAAAATGGTTTTACTTATATTCAACACGAATACGATCGAGTGAACACGCCATGACGTATAATATTATATTTATATTCTTATGTAGGTACGCGATACGTGCAACAAAATCATCCTTATAAAATAACAACATAATAGGACTAGAACAATTTATTTTTTATTAAACAAAATAACGCTTCAATAACAGAGATTATTAGCGTTTAGATTACATTTTACATTTTTTACATTTTATTTATTTTTTTTTTTTTTTTACTAAATATTATTATGTTAAATTAAATTAAATTAAATTATATAATTTAGACATTTTTTGAAAATTTATTAATTTTATGTTTGATTGCTTGTCAGGTTCTATAAATTCTGATAGTTATTGTTCGGGTAGATTGTTTTTTTTTTATTTTGAGCTTTTTCTATTTTAAACACTCAGTTAATATGTGTTTCACTGTTGTTCGTGTTCCGCATATAGTTCAAATTGGTGGTTCTTCTTGGTCATTAAGAAGCCGTGCGTAATTTTGTGTGACCTATTCTTAATCTGTTAAGGACTATTTCTTTTTTCTATTACTATTTGAGGGTTATTTTTTAATTTTACTGAGTTTTTGATTTTGTTATTTTCATAATTTTTCACATTCTTATTGCACACAATATGTTTTTTATTTATTTTTTGATGTCGGTATAGGTTTGTATTTGTATTTTTGTTTGGTTTGATTGTAAAATTTGCTTGGCTTAGAACAAATCTATGTATCAAAAATATCGACGATATTGATTCATTCCAAAGGAATATTCCTGTCAGTAGATTTGATTATGAAAATATTATTGTTGAATTAAACACTCGCGTAGTGTGCGTGTTTCAAACGTTTGATTGACGGCTCGTATTGCATTTATATAAACGTTCGATTTAGACTACACGATTAAATCATATGTGAGTAAAAAAACAAAAAGTATTTAATACTTTCGAGAATTGAAAAAATAACTCGCGAACAATCCTCATAGATATTTATCTACTCTCTCCAAATATTATCATCCTTCAAACGATCTACATTCTAATTTATTCTCATTTATTTTCATTTTTTCACTATACCTAACATTATAACCTATACATCATCATAATACATAGGTACTTTATAACAATATAATATAGTATATACTTTAGGCAATACAATACACAAAGCGAATTCTAACCATACGGGGAACGTTATGAATTTACTTTAGTTCACGAAATCGTCTAGCAAAACGAGGGTTGTGGGCATCCTTATTAAACTAATCTATAGTATGAGTGGATACTACCAGACGTGCTACCGCATAAAACATGAGTATTTTCGATACACGCTGCAGCAGTTTAATACTGAAAACCAGGAAATTACACTGCAGCATTAAAATCACTGAAGAAAATAATTCACCGAGTATAATTGAAATGAAAGAAGAATTAAAAAAAAAATAATTCATGAAATTATTTAATTTTTTTCACCCTATATACGGGGACTTGTTACTTACCTTGAGTTTTTATTGTTATTTGAACCGGAGGTCTCAGAAGATTTTTTTTAACATTTTCATTACAGTAGCTCTCACGTATAGGCCACAATGCCGTTTCAAAAATATATAAAATATTTATTTTTTTTACGTCTTTAGCTACAAACATAGGTACTCTGATTGATAGTAATCATTGTTCATAAAATCGATAAAAAATGCATTCATATATAAGCAAGATAAAAGGGTCCATTTTTATTATAATATACAGGGCAGTTCATCAAGTATGCTCATCTTCTTTTTATTTACCTCAATAATTAAGTTCTTTAAAATATGATTTTTAAATTTTTTATGCATACTTAAAAATCATATTTTAAAATTCTTAAAACTTTTTTGTTTCTTCAGTAGAAAAATCTCAAAAATTTGAAAATATGGTGTTTAAGTTTTATTAAATGTTTTTCGGGCATCAAAATTTGAATAAATCTATGTACAATAGAGAAAATAGGATGGATCACGCTTGGTGATTCACTCTGTAGCAGATACAGCCAACGATTATGAATTTATTACAATTTATAAGACATATATATAATATATACATATTTTAAAACCTATGAAAATGAATATTAATATCATCGTCGTGAGGTAAGACTCGTTCGTCAACCGTAATAGTTTTCCATATACTCGATCTGTTTGCACTATTATTCACATTTTTTGTTTTACGATTGTTTATCAGCGTTTTGAAGATGCCCGAATTGTTACTAAACTCCACGCGGGTTTCCGTACACTCCTTTCTCCCGGTGAAATTACGACTTTCATTGTTTTATGTTCGGCGTACTGCAATCACGGCTCACTAATATTCGGACGCCTGGTGGATACGACCATGACGAATCGTCGTCCGAATAACACATTATGTACAACGCTAATCCGCACCCGACAAACCGCGATATTGTACCTATAATAAGTAATAAGTAATTTAAGCGTTCGCTGGACTAAGGTATAGCAACCGCGGCGTCGTTGTAAGTTTCTCATTAGGTGTTTTCGTAGTGTTGTGCTCGTATATCATACTTTCAACGAGTATTATAGTTTTGATTTTTAATTAAAATATTTTCCGTCCGTCATATTTGAAAATTCTTGTGTGCGACAAGCGTCACAATAATACTACTTGAATATACCTACTATACATTATGCTCGCCGTATGATTTTTAAACCGCCGGAAAGAACTTAAAAGGAAGTAGTGCCGCAATGAACACATTTAGAATGATTAATGATGGACGTATTATATTATATAATTTATATAAGTTATGTATATATATATACATTTTGGTTGGTGTTTATAGTAATATAATAATATTAATATTACTATTGCAGGAGGAGTCAACACGTCTAGTTTATTGCGTAGTGTATTGCAATGTATTTTTGTCAAAAAAACCATTCTCTATTTATCTTTTACTCGTATAAGTGTTATTTTGACTAAGTATAGGCTTAAATTATTAATCTGCTCAAAGCATAAAAAATCTATAACTTAAAATATATGATTCAAAAAAAAAAAAATCATAAGTTGGTAATAAGTATAATATACGATGACGGATTTTTTTTTGTTTTTCACTAGTAAATAATGACTAAAACGTTGATTATATCATACAAATTTAATTCTTACTATGTTAAATTTCATCATAAACCACTAAATTATAAACACTATAAAAACTAAACCGGATTAACGTGTGTTATAACTTATAAAAATAAAAAATATGAGTTTTGTTCATTAATTGTTTGTTATTACTATGTATACGTATATATAGCTTTTGATCTGTTAAACTGGCAAATGCTTTATAGATCATAACTTATAATATTAATTGCATTTTTACTTACGTATAACAATATTATACAAGGCAATTCAATGTCTTGTGGTAACTGGTAATCTAATGCTGTAGTTACCTATTTAATTATTTGATTGATTGAAATAATTTTATCAACAATAAATTTATTATTGCTGGTAATTAGTATATTTAACTTAAATTTTGAAATCAAAATATATAACGCAGTGTAACATATGTTATAAGAACAGAAAGTGGAAGTATGTCGTCGTTTTTACTGAAGACGACTTCCTGGATGAATTTATCAAGCAGTAAGTACGTAATACGTGTTATTTATAGTAAGTTTTCAGACTATTTAGTTACGAAATCTGCATTTATTTTTTACAATCTTGGTTTACGAATATATCGTATATGAACCAGTTAATAGCAGAAAGATACAAGTCGGTAAGTTGGTTGATGTAATAATCCGGTTGTTGACAGATCGGCATTGTTTATCACAGTACGTGGTTCACATGACTTCTCATAAGGAAAAAAAAACTTGAAAAAGAAGGGAATAATACTTGGTGTTGGATTGTCGGTCGTACCTGTACCAAAAATTTAATAAAAAAAGACAAAAATGTATGTAATATATATAATATATATATTTTAATGACTGGTATAATGTTTATGTATATATTATTTTGTAATTACACGGCATAACTATACACGCACATTAAATTTTATAAATAAAAATACAAACAATATGGGTCCCAAAAAAACACATGCAAATACCTTTCTACGGTTGCAGCGGTGTCGTCTTCTCTATGTTATACAGAAAAAAAATACGTTATTGATAGATATAATAAGAAAATTAAGTTATAATTGTCTACAATTAAAACGTTGCGTATATAAGTTAACTTAAAATACAATTCAATAATACACGCTCCAGCAATGACATATTAAATAGGTAATATATATATATAATATATAAAGTACATTAATATTTCGTTTAATGAGCAATAATCTGAATAGTGAATAGCTTTACTAGAACATAAACGCGAACGCGTAACGGGTAAGAGGGCGTAATACTCGTGAATGGCTTGTCGATAAAAATATATAATAGAATAATAATAATAATTGATCGATCACATTATCAAAACTAGAACAACAATGACGTAATATTCAACAGTGTAGGTATGTTATATAAGAATATTACGGTCCACACTCCACTGTATTAAAATAAACATGCGTCGTATTTTAATGTCGTTTCCGTCCGTTTTCTATCTTCCGGCCGAAGATAAAACGATGAAACAATCAAAAAATTCCCACGTAAAAGGAAGTAGAGTAATTTAACGATGAATACAGTGTCGTGTCGGGGGCCCAGTTTACAGATGCCTTCGACGACGAAGACACGAACTTGACCTCTTAATACAATGACCAATGTGACGTGCGACCATAACAATTTATTAGATTTTGATTTGATGATTGAATTTTTGACGGAGAATAATAACGAGACTTGGAACTAGTTGCAGTTCTAAGATTGTTTTCGTTATTAAAAAGAAAATAAGGTAAAATAAACTGTCAATTAGACGATGTTTAGTTTGAAACCATTAGAATGTTAAATATAGGAATTTATTATTTACCATTTTTATAAATCGAATTGCCCCAAAGCCAATGTTGATCACATAATATTGTGATCTTTGTGGTGCAGAAAAAAAACATAGGGTAAGTAAATTTGAGCAATTTTTTTTTTTTTTTTTGGTAATATAATATATACTACGCCCTATTGCCCGACAGGCGGTCAACGTGACCGGTTAAATCTATTGGTAACACGACGACGACTGACGTTCAATAACACAAGTAAACTTTGTATATGGTACAACGAATATGTGGGGAGGAGAATGCCAACGGTTAATCCACAACTTGAACGGTGGCGTAGGCGCTGAACGTGACCTTTTTGGGTTCGTCGTAGGTATGCTGATAGATTTGGCTCTTGTTGTTGTTCTTTTTGATCACCGACTTGAGATGTCCGCCGTTCTTGGCCTGTTGCCTTTGCTGCTGCTGGTAGAGCTGGTGTTGTTGCTGCTGTTGCTGGTATTGGCTGTGTTGGTGGTGGTGTTGATGGCTGAAGTATTGATAGAAGTTAGCGGTGACAGATTCACCGACGCTGTTGCGTCGCCGGAAAGTCACGGGTTGCAGGTCCTGAAGCGGCGGTGACTGATTGCCAGAAGTTATCTCACGGAGTTTGCCGAAAAACCGGTTGCCGAACGACGACGACGATGGCGGTGGCTGCTGTTCGACGTTCGGGTACCGACTAAACGCCACCGGTGGAGGATGCGACGACTGGAGAGCGGCCAGCTGCAGCGGTTGCTGTTGCCGGCGACCAGGTCCTGTACTCCTGCTCCGAGTGCGACTGTTGTTGGACCGTCTGTGTTGTTCGTACCGACCGTCCAACCTGTCGTAATCTGCGGTCGACCACAGCCGGTCGGATACGACGGACGTTGGGGACGAGCTGGCGATCGACTTGGCCGGCGACTCCTGACCGGACTTCCTTTCCGGTTCCGGGCTGGCCGGTGGCAACACGGCACGATGGTTGACATTGACCCTAATAAACTGACCCCTGACCACCTTTTGTTGCCGCCTGTAGTCTTCGTTACTTCCGTCGCCGCCGTCCGCTTTCACCTTGTATTTCCTCCTTTCAGGCCTCTGCGGGGGCGGATCAATGCCACCGTCCCCGTCGTCTCGATCTCGGTCGTCCTCGTCTCCATACGATCGGTCTTTGGTCGTCGGCCTCGGTGATTCTGGCGTGCTTATGCTTATTATGCTCGACTGAGACGAGTCCCTGGAGGTGGAATTGGCCGCCACCACAGGCCCCGCAGTGACTTCGATGTGCGTCACCCCGTCGGTGTCGGTCCGCTGCACCAGGTTGAACCTGTTCACTTCAGGCATCGCCGTCAGCGCTATGTTGCCGCTTACGCTACCGCCGACGCCGATTTTTCGCCTTTGCGACGACAGCGACCCACCCGTGCTGTTAGCGTGGCCCACCCAAGGCTTTGGCTCCAACTTCAAGCGCCTGCTGTGTTCCTGGTACGCCCGACACACATCCTGCAGCCGGTTGTCCCGGCTTCGGACCACGATGGCCTCCAGACCTGCGGACGGCGTTCTCCTGGTCTTGATCACCCACACTGCGATACCGGGTAATGCGGCCGCATCCGTGTGGCAGAACGCCACGTCGGTCAGCCCGTATGCCTCACGACCAGATCCATCAACAGCCTCCGCGATGGCAACGACTGGTGCCTGTCCGCCTCTCAGCGAAGCGGCGTCCGCGTCGTCGCTGTCTTCCGAAACGCCGCTGCTGTTGGCGCTGTCCGACGACGCGCCCGCCGCCGCCGATACGGTTGCCAACGTTCCAGTTTTCCTCTTGGCGGGATCATCGTACGATCCTAGCGACGCCAAGTCTTCGTCTGACTCGAAACCTTCGTCGTCCGGTCGCTTTCTCTGGTACGGCACTATCTCCAGTCCAGCGTCCCGGCTGCACGACACCATGCAACGGCGTCCCGGTAACCGGCCACGCTGTTGCTGCTTCTTGCACAGCTGTCTGACTAGCGTAGCCAGGCTGTCCGAGTCTGCGGATCCTTGAACGGGTCCCCGACCCAGCAGCTCGCAGTCTGCCGTCGTTGTCGTTGTCGTCACGCTCATCGTCACCTGAAACGATAAAATACGGTTATCAGTATATTCGTAATAATACTATATAATATCAGCTACAGTAACATACTATAATTTTAAATTTTTAAACAATGATAGACATAGAAAATATCATCTATTATGCAAACAAAATAGTTTATAATTATCTTTATTATGATAATAATATCTTAGAAATTTAAAACAAATATTTTTTATTTTTTTTTTATAAGATATTTCATTAATTTGTCATCTATTACTTTTATGTATCGTTAAACAATATTGTCCACGTTTGACCGAAATGATCATTGATTATTATTTAACCACTGCACCATTATAGAATACTAGGTGATTTGAAATTTATTTCCGGTGACTAGTTTTATCTACCTACCAACATTATTTTTAAGAATTAAAGTATTGCATTATAATTTAAAAAATTAAAACTGATAATATTAGAAATAATGTGGTTTAGTTATTATTTGTTCGCAATGATAATAAGTTACTTTTGTAGTCGACACATGTGTACCTAATGTTAATTTAATGAAGATTTATTTTTGGTATAATTAGTTATAAGCGGTTTAGGTGTATTCTATAGTCGGTTATAATAAAAGAGAATGTGTCATTGAGCGGAGAATATATGTAAATAACCTTCGAGTGGTGAATGATCAGTAAGAAAGTGCCCTACCAGCGAATAGAACCGTGAAACATACAACGACCCACAGATAACCGTTGGTTTTGTCGGGAGGGGTTTTCCTTGTATTTACGAAGGGTATGGAAACTGGAAACTGGCACTGTTTTCTAGTGACCCAGAACATCGTAGAGTAATTTATAAGAAATGTATACTGACAGTGGTTTCTATCAATTTAAACATTTTTCAAATTCCCTCTGTTGTACTTTAAATCATTATGACCAATATATGAATTGTACGTTTAATTTATAAGTACACGAGTTTGAAAGTACGAGAAATGAGTATAAAGTATTATGATTTAAAATTTAGATAAAAACCAACTCCTACTAATATAAAAACTCATTAAATGTATTAAATGATTTTTTAAGTAAAATAAATAATTAAATAAACGATAAATGTATAGTATTGTGATTGAAATATTATATGAATTTGAATTCAACCTTAATTGTAACATTATTACTTTTATGAAATATCATAGTATTGATTTTTAATTGAAATGTTTGTAAGTTGATCGATTCCTATAATTTATTTATTTATATTGTAATTTAATATACTTATATCTTGAGTAGTTTTTAAATAATTTTGTAACATTAAATGCAGTCATATCGATTATAACAAAAATTATTTAAGTCAAAAACATGACAAATAATTACTCAAATTTTACAATAAAAAAATAACTATATTAATAATATAATGTTTGTCTGATTTTCATGTAATTATTTATGTATGCCTCCAGTTAATTCTATAATAATGGAATTAATACGTATATCATATGATGAATATTTTGTTACATTCAAATTTAAACGAACTTATAGCCTATAGGTTCCTATATTGAATTATCATAATATTATATAAAGGTTCGCAATAAATTTAATAAATATTTAAAAATTTTAATATATTTGTATTTGATATATTATAACAAAGATATATGAATGATATATAGGTACACTGCAAATCATCAAACAAGTATGACACTTATCAGAACACATATGAAAATAGATCATATTATCTGGCAGACCAACTGTCTGCTGGATCAAGACCTAGATCAAAGCAACGGTATTGATTCGGACGTAGTAAATTCATTAAGCCTCCATACACAGCAATAACAGCATTTCGATGATAGGTCACAAACACGAGTAAACATCGTGATAGAAATCCATTTCAGTATTCACGTACATCTTCCTTTCCGGTTGACATTTTTATTTGTATTAGTCGGACAATTCTTTTCTGTCTGTTTAATAGATTAAAAAAAAAAAAAAAACGTGTTTCGAAATACTTGTTGACCAGACAGACTAGACGACAATTTAATTACAGTTTAAACTGGAAAACTAGAACGTTATGTAACGCTGTAAAAAAAATAAAATAATAATGGATATGGATCTACCTACTATCATTGTCTCTCTGTCTCACTATGTCATTCTTTCTCTCCCTATTTGTAGGTGTGACAAAAATTAAGTTGTTGTTTTTTTTTTTTTTTCTATCGAGAAACATATTATATTACACACGTTAACTTGACTGACGATGTCCACTATTATATATTCGTATATTATATTCAATTGTTTCACGTTTAATTCGTTCGTTCAAGTCTCTGATCTGTATGTATACGCACGTTATACCAACCGAATACATAAAAATCTGACGTCATTTGAAATACTATATAGGAGGAAAAACGTGACATTTTATACTTGTATTGCGATACTTGCTTTCTAGATATTTTAATAATGCATGTTTATGTTCTCATTTTGTTTTCTAAGGAAACCCTTTTACAATACCACAGTGAGAAGTCCTGATATTTTGAAAATTACTTGAAGGCGGTTAAAACACAATTATAACCTAGGTCAAAATACTTTGTTTTCGATAACACTTAGGAATGCGAAAGGGAATCATCTATTTGCACGCGAAAAACTGGAGAAAGTCTTACGAACGTTCTGTTTGCCCGCTGCAGTATGCAGACAAAAATGCATTAGCCGCAGGCTTTTAGTAACGAACAATATACCTACGCTTTCGGGGCCTCGATAAGCAGTTTTTATATAGTGTTCGTGGTCTAGTGTGTATCTAAAAATATGACAAATGTTGAAATATTTAATTATTAAATTGTGAATTTGAAGTATATCATATTTTCCGATTAAAAATCGTTTATCGGGATAATTTCATAAAGGTATTATACGAATTTTAAAACGATTTCTCCGTTTACGCTTTGAGTAATCGGACTGTAGTTAGCTGACGTATGTATGCACTAATGGTGGAGGTCAAAAGGTTTATCATCAAACAAAACGATCCAGAAGGAATCACGTACCTATATGGATTGTTCAAAATCCATCATCATTTGTCAATAACGCTTCTTAACGATTCATTTCGGTCCACCGATGGAGGTCGTACGCTACTTTTAAAGATGATGCTCGTGATCACATTTTAATCGGTTATCACTGTTTATTTAACAATAAAATATGTTGGCATGGAATCCGTTCTATAGCAGGTCTCTTCGGAATATTAAGAACGATCGAAATCAGTCGAACAAGATTAAGAACATTCTTCGTTTCAAAGATGTGTATATACTCTTATGATATACACTTATATAGGTAAATTTAATAAATAAATAAAAAAAAAACTGACGGCGGAAAATTGTAATTTATCGACCGATAACATTTTAACTACATCATAAACCGATCACTTGCCGTTGAATACAATTATTTATATAAAATTAAACGCATATTACCTATACATAGCATGCGCACTACACAGCGTTCGCTACAATTTCAAGTGTATATGTATTATTATATATATATATAAGTATAATAAAATAATGTTTTTCAAATACATCGATATAAAGTGAGATTATTGATATTATACCACGCATATCATTATAATATGATTTGTCCGTACTTTGCGAACACAGTAAGTACATAGGAATGATGTAGTACAAAGAATAAAATTATGGTGAATGTAAACAAATTCGAAAACATCGACTGAATACGTTCCGTGGCGATCGGATTTTACCGTCTACAATATATGCTTATGCATAGTATTTACTATGCTAAACGATTCCCAAACATAATAATATTGTTCGTTTTTCACGAAATCACTTTCGTCGTCACTTGTTATATCGACCACCTATTATAAACTGTATTAAGTCGACGAGATTGCAACACGACTATACATCTTCTTCTCGCGCATACTTTTTGCGTCGTGATCCATCCGCTTTCGTCGTGTCATCAACGAAATATATGTCTTCAGAGTGACGTTATACAACACGTAACGGCTGTATTCTCGTTTTATTTTATTTTATTTTTTTTTTCACTTTTATTATTTTAAGTAATAAATGACCCGTGAATACAGTGCTCACGAAATCGTCACACACATATAGTCCGAAGGTTCTTAAATTGCTCTTATTTAATTTTTAATTTTTTTTTCGAGCGATATGCTCACAAACGCCGCTCTATAAATGGCTTATGAGTGTTGTAATTTCGACACCATGTACAAACATGCGTAATTAGCCGTAATTGTTCATCGCCCACTATGTTACGCCATCTGAATAATAATTATACACTGTAAACCAGTACAGATTCATAATAGGTAATCCGTAATATTATCACCAGAATCGGGTCGATATGACAGATCGATTGTGTAGAACCCGTATTAATTATAAGGCGTACTACAACTATCGCATGTTATGCTCGATGTTTTACCAAAGATTTAAAAACAATAATTTGTTTATGTCGTGACAACATAGACGTCTCGTAACGATGACACAATTTCTGTACGATGGATGTACACATAGATAGGTACAAAAATCATACGTTTCTAATATTTCTGGTATTTCCTTCGATTTTTTTATTTTTTAAGGTGGCAATTGTAAAATAAAATATTTCACACTAAAGAAGATATAAATAAATTCGTATACGAAATAATGAACGATTTTAGGATCTTAGGTTTAATGATCATTCGTGTAAATAATATTTAACAATAGATTTTATTAGGCAGCTGAAGATATTATAAAAAGTATTTAAAATACGAAGTGTGAATAGTATGAAAAGCAATAGAAAGTGTTAAAAAAAAAATAAAAATATATATAAATAATCATCCGTACCTACACATTGGTTAACCTGTCGACAGGAATTCGTCAGGATTGTGAAATTTGCGTAATCGTGAATATATATTATATATTGTCCGCCTCCAGCTTTTTGTAAATAGCTTTTTACCTACGAATGTAAACAGAAATCTGAGTTTTATATATTCAATATTCATAATGTATATATTATTATTTTACGGTTTCGCTCATAAATGTTTTATGAAATATAATATCGTATTATATTATTAAGAATATAAACTATGAAAT